GGGTGTTTCAAGAAGACAGTTCCCCCACTCCTGCAGACTGAGGGTCTAGAGAAGAACTGATCTAAATACACACAGAACCTGTCAGGGTCACTCCACTGTCAGAGTCACTTCTCAGCTTGTAACAGGGAGATAGAGAGATGTGTTATCTAAGAATTAAGGAAATCCCCAGCCTGTTGGCTTTCCATCCATCTTATGTGCAAAGTTGTAGTGTTTGTAAGGTAAGTTCTACTGTCTCCCTAGTTCTGAGAAACCGCTGGAGGTGGCTTAAGTCCCACTCAGTTGCTAGGCAACAAACTATCTCTATTGTGTGAACCTTATTTCCCCTCCTGCTGAGACTGAGTATGATATTTTGGCAGAAGGTTTTTACAGGGGTAAGATGTAACTAAAAATAAGGCAATTCACTTAGAAGCTGATAAAGAAAGTACAGTTGTCGGATGTGATACACATGACCAAGTTTATAGGTGTTCAGTGAGAGTTTTGTGGTGCTTAGTATGTTACTGTGAATTGTCAGCACGAAGATAGTGTTATAAAAGAGTGGGTCTATAACTTTTACTCCTTCTCATTGAAAAAGTACATATATTGCATAAGACATACTCGGTAACATTTGCTCTGAGTTGCAACAGCATTTGTGTTCCTTGTAAAACGTTTTGTCTGCCTAAATTCAAAAAATCCTTTTTCAGTTTTCTTAGCTCAAATGAGCATACAGACAAGGCAAGCATGCAGGGAACATTTTGTATGTTTAAACTCTCTCAAGCAATAGTGCTGTAATTTAAGTCTTATCCAAGCCATACCAAGGTCTTAAGAAAGCTAAATTGTATGCGTGTGGAAATCTGTAGCAAAAAAAGGAAGAAGTAAAAATTAGGTTAGTCTAATTGTTTCTTGTAAAGGACAAAAACATCTTATTCCCTTAGACCTCTTTCTCACCCAATCACGAGATGTGTAGACTGAAACTTGACCAGACAGAAGAAGGATTAGGAGAGCATTGGTTACATGTGTATGCAGATATGTCTGTTCATCTTAGCTAAAATGAATTCTGATGTCTTTTTTAAATGAATAAGGTAGGGTTTGACAGAATCCAGCAGTTATTTGAGCTTCAATAAGTAACTCTCTTTTTTTTGTCACTTCACTATCTAATCCTACCAGCATTATGATCTTACACTGGACAGCAGGCCTGTTCTTTGTTATCAAACTAGCAAATTGACAAGGAGCACAAAAACTAAGCCCTAATGTTTCTTCCAGGGGTCTAAGAACTTCAAAGCTTTCTCAAATAGTTAAAAATCACTACAAAGATCATGCTATGAAGTTAAAGGGGAAATGGTCTTTTCACAAACAATTTGAAAAAGAAATTACAAGAAAATTATGTTTCCTTAACCAAAACAAAGTTACATCCCTGTGTGGCTTCTGTAAACCAGACTGATCTTTCCCTACTCATTCTCATTAACTCCTTAAAAATGTTGTACCACAGATGTAATATAAATCGATCTCAACCCATATTGAGTAATCGTAAATTTAGCTTCTATTGTCTCCTGCATCTGTACCAACTGAAAATGTCTTAGGAGTTAAAGACATAAACTTTCCCTCTATCGTAGTATCTCACAGAATTCTCTTCTATTTCTGCACCAGACCTTCTCTACTCTTGCCAGCCCCTGGTCTTTTATGGGGAGCCGGCAATGGCAGAGGAGGTGCAAAGGGCTCGTTGCTTCAACTTCTTTTCTGCCACAGATGTCTGTAAAGCTTCTCTGGGAGCTGCACCTGGTTCTCTGAGCCTCTCTTTCCATCTTCGTCAGTCGATTTTGAACTCTGGTGGTAGACGCAGGCAGGTGGCAGCAGCAGCGCCGGCAGGGCTGACAGCACGTGTTGGCGTGGGGTCTGCGGCGGCAGCGACTCCTGTCCAAGGCTGGGGGGGTCCGACAGCCCGGGATTCTCGGTCAGGGCTCGGCGCGGGCACGGCAGCAGTCCCTTTTTTTTTGTTTTCGGAAACAGCGTCCGTTGCTATGGCAGCGCGTCTCACTGTCCTTCTTCCAGGTTTCACGGTGGCTTCAGGCGCCAGTGGTGCAGCGCCACCTAGTGACGCGGAGGCTCCTAGCAACGTTGTTCCAGGCAACACATGCGCAGTACTAACCGCTGACTCAGCGCCCAGAGCAGGCACAGTGAGGAGCAACACCACTGACCGCGCAGCCGCAGTAGAGGGCCGTGCCGTTGGCACGGCTCCAGCTTTATTCTCCGCCGCTACTGATTCTCCTGCAGCCTCTACACATTCTGCTGTTACATGCACGGTGCCAAACAGAAGTGGTCCCGCTGCTTTTAAGGTCTCTAGTGTTTGCAACTTTGCAGCCACAGGTACTGGGATCTCCCCTAAAGCGGACCGATGGGGGCGGGGACTCGCCGTAGTCCCACCGTCTCCCAACAGAGCTGTCTGAACATTTATGAGGTCCCGTCGCTCAGAACTTAACTCTTGCAGCGACTCAACTGCCAGACGCCAAATTATAGGACACTTTCTAGAGTCTTCTGATCCCTTAGAGATCCCGTCCCAAAACAGGTCCTTTATAGCATCCCCTGTGGACACCTGAAAGGCGGCTTGAGCAGTGGGAAGTAGATTCTGCGCTCTCGCCCATTCTATTAACCCTTTAAGGGTTGTTTCATCATAAATAGGCTCTCTTAGAGAGATCATAAATTGACGGATCGTTTCCACCGCTCTGTCCTCTGTGGGTAGCGTGGGCCCCATGCTCTCTCCCCCGGTCGACTCACCTAGCCAGGGTGAGGTTCCTCTGTACCATGCGCATGGCTTTTTTCGTAGCGCCGGGGACAGCACTACCTCTAACGACCGCTTCCCTCAGCTCCTTCCGTTCGCCTTACGTCCCGCAGAACTTGACGAAGTAGGACTCCCTGTCAAATGGGCGCCAGATATCGGCGGAGGGGCATGGACAAATGCTCATAGTCCATTATGGTCGGCAAAATGTCAGCTTTATTAGAAGAAAGACAGCTTCTATACTGCTTATGACACACAGACGTGATTCTTTCCCAGGCTACATTGGATACATAAGGAAAACATACTGCATTGTACAGTACGAATTGGTCCACAACAGGTGTCCACAAAACTTGTTTACCTGCCAAAAGAACTCCTCCTTCACCTTGGCACAAGGCCTGCAGTCATATTAGCGGCGTAGTATTTTTTTACAATCTGCACCCAGCCAGGGCAAGGCAAAGGTCGCAGAAATGCAATAGAAATTGTTCACACAATTTCTGTCTACCGACAGCCCACAAACAGCAGGTGAGAGAGGGGGGCTCATGTCTTTCTTTCCAGGCGGGAAGGGCAGTCGTTGGTAGGTCGATCGCTGGGGGCCGTCCGAGGGCCAAAATTGGATACGGATGAAGATTCCTCCTAGACCAAAGGTGCCCGCCCCGCAAACCCTGGCTGGGCGCATAGTGCCAAGAGTGGCGCACCAATGGCAGGTGAGAGAGGGGGGCTCAGGCCTTTCTTTTTGGGGCGGGAAGGGCAGTCATTTGCAAGCCGGCGCGCTGCACCGCCAGGGGCCGTCCGAGGGCCAAAATGGAATACGGACGAAGATTCTTCCAGACCAAAGGTGCCGGCCCCACAAGCCCTGGCTGGGCGTGTAGCGCTGAGAGTGGAGCACCAACGGCAGGTGAGGGGGGGGGCTCAACCCTTTCTTTCCAAGCGTGAAGGGCAGTCCTTTGCAGACCGGAGCGCCGCACTGCTGGGGGCCGGGCGAGGGCCAAAATGGAATACGGACGAAGATTCCTCCCAGACCAAAGGTGCCCGCCCTGCAAGCACTGGCTGGGCGCATAGTGCCAAGAGTGGTGCACAAACAGCACGTGAGAGAGGGGGACTCAGGTCTTTCTTTCTCGGACAGGCAGGGTAGTCATTCACTGGCCGTCACGCCACGGTGCCAGGGGCCAGCCGAGGGCCAAAATTGGATACGGACGAAGATTCCTCCCAGACCAAAGGTTGCTGCCCTGCAAGACCTGGTTGGGCGCGTAGTGCCGCGAGTGGCGCACGAACGTCAGGTGAGAAAGGGGGGCTCAGGTCTTTCTGGCCGAGAAGGACAGTCGTTCGCAGGCCAGAGAGCCTCGCCGCCAGGGTCCGACTGAGGACGAAAATTGCATACAGACAAAGATTCCTCCCAGCCCAAAGGTTCCCGCCCTGCAAACCCTGGCTGGGCTCAGAGTGTGGAGAGTGGTGCACCCACGACAGGTGAGAGAGGGGGGCTCAGCCCTTTCTTTCTGGGCAGGAAGGGCAGTCGTTCGCAGACCAGAGCACCGCGCCGCCGGGGGCCGACCGAGGGCCAAAATGGGATACGGACGAAGATTACTCCCAGACCAAAGGTGCCCGCCCTGCAAGCAAGCACTGGCTGGGCGCGTAGTGCCAAGAGTGGCGCACAAAAAACACGTGAGAGAGGGGGACTCAGGTCTTTCTTTCCAGGCGGGAAGGGCAGTCATTTGCAGGCCGGCGTGCCGTACCGCCGGGGGCCGGCTGAGGGTCAAAATCAGATATGGACGAAGATTCCACCCAGACCATCTTTGTTGGTATGCATTTTTTGGAGTCGGTCTGGCATTTGGGAAGCAGGAGTGAAAACAGGAAACAAGAGCTCTTATCCCCAGGAAAGAAAGACTGGAAGTTTTGGCTTTGTGGTGCAGTTGGTGGGCCAGGCTGGGCACTCCATTAGCAGCAAGAGCTTTCTGTGCTGGTGCCTTTGGTGTGGGAGGAATCTTCGTCCGTATGCAGTATTGGGAGTCGGGTTGTCGTTTGGGAGGCACAGTTGAAAATGTGAAACAACAGCCTGTAGCAGTAAATCAGCATTATATGAGAAAACTGCTGTTTAAATATGTTTCAAAATGGTTTTTTGTATTTCTGCAAAGTCACTACTTCTTCTTCCCAGGACCCCCCTCAGTAGTGTTATCTCTGCCTCAGGAATGTCCTGAGAAGACATCAATAAGTCTTCCCATTGGGCCCTGTTAACCCTTTCGTATTGGTTGTTAACCCCTTCCTGCAATTGGATGTCCTGTAAGCCCCCTGACCCTGTAACTGGTCACTCAGTGAATCCTCCAAACCCTATATATGTAACCACCCCATCAATAAACTCTCTCTCCTCCTCTTCAAGTCCTGTGTGCTGTCTGTGGCTGCCATGGGGCCTCGTGAGTGGGGGGAGGGGCGAGAAAACTCTCTCCTCCATGCGGTCAGGACCTGAAGAAACCCCTGGCGCTAGAGTTTTCCCCTTCCCTATGCACCTCAAGACTTCGGAAATGGAACCCCACAATGGGAGGAATGCAACCAGTAATGGAACCCCAGAGAGGAAAGACATAACAGCCCATACCTCCAGGAAAGAAAACCAGGAAGCTTAGTCTTTGTGGTGCAGTTGGTGGGCCAGGCTGGGCACTCCATGGGCAGCAAGAGCTTTCTGTGCTGGCAGCGTTGGTGTGGCAGGAGTCTTCGTCCGTATGGAATTTTGGGAGTAGGTCTGGCACTTTGGAGGCAGGGCTGAAAACAGGAAACAACAACCCTTAGCTGTGGGAAAGAAAGCCTGGAAGATTTGGCTTTGTGGCGCAGTTGGTTTGTCAGCCTGGAGACTCGATTGGCACCAAGAGTTTTCTGTGCTGGCACCTTTGCTGTGGGGGGAATCTTCGTCCGTATGCAATTTCGAGCTTCAGGCTAGAAGTTGGGAGGTAGGGCTGAAAACACAAAACAACAGCCCGTATCCCCAGGAAAGAAAGCCTGGAAGCTTTGGTTTTGTGGTTCTGTTAGTTTGTCAGCCTGGAGATTCCATTGACAGCAAGAGCTTTCTGTGCTGGCACCTTTGGTGTGGGAGGAATCTTTGTTTGTATGCAATTTTGGCAGTCGGGCTGGTAGTTGCGAGTCGCTGTATAAAACAGGAAACAACAGCCCTTATCCCCAAGAAAGAAAGTCTGTAAGCTTTTGCTTTGTTGTGCAGTTGGTTTGTCAGCCTGGAGACTCCATTGGTAGGAAGAGCATTCTGTGCTGGCACCTTTGGTGTGGGAGGAATCTTTGTTTGTATGCAATTTTGGCAGTCAGACTGGCTGTTTCAGATGCAGGTCTTAAAAAATGAAACAACAGACCTTATCCCCAGGAAAGAAAGACTGGAAGCTTTGGCTTTGTGGTGCAGTTGGTGGGTCAGGCTGGGCACTCCATGGACAGCAAGAGCTTTCTGTGCTGTCACCTTTACTGTGGGAGGAATCTTTGTTTGTATGCAATTTTGGGAGTCGGGCTGGCAGTTGCGAGTCGCTGTATGAAACAGGAAACAACAGCCCTTATCCCCAGGAAAGAAAGCCTGTAAGCTTGTGCTTTGTTGTGCAGTCGGTTTGTCAGCCTGGAGACTCCATTGGTAGGGAGAGCGTTCTGTGCTCTAACCTTTGGTGTGGGAGGCATCTTTGTCCGTATGCAATTTTGGGCTTCAGCCTGGCAGTTGGGAGGTAGGACTGAAAACAGGAAACAACAGCCGCTATTCCCAGGAAAGAAAGCCTGCAAGCTTTGGCTTTGTGGTGCAGTTGGTGGACCAGGCTGGGCTCTCCATGAGCAGCAAGAGCTTGCTGTGCTGGTTCCTTTGTTGTGGGAGAAATCTTCTTCTGTATGCAATTTTGGGAGTCGGGATGTCATTTGGGAGGCACGGTTGAAAACAAGAAACAACAGCGCTAATCCCCAGGAATAAAAGACTGGAAGCTTGGGTTTAGTGGTGCAGTTTGTTTGTCAGCCTGGAGACTCCATTTTCGGATTCGGTCTGGCACAGGGAGGCAGAGCAGGAAAGAGGGAAACACTGCCCTTGTCTCCGGGAAAGAAAGCCTGGAAGCTTTGGCTTTTTGGTGCAGTTGGTTTGTCAGCCTGGAGACTCCATGGCAGCAAGAGCTTTCTGTGTTGGCACCTTTGGTGTGCAGAAATCTTCGTCCTTATGCAATTTCGGAGTCCGGCTGGCAGTTGAGAGGCAGGGCTGAAAACAGGAAACAACAGCCAATATCCCCAGGAAAGAAAGCCTGGAAGCTTTGGCTTTGTGGTGCAGTTGGTGGGTCAGGCTGGGCACTCCATGGGCAGCAAGAACTTTCTGTGATGGCACCTTTTGGGTGGGAGGAATCTTCGCCCATATGCAATTTTGGGAGTCGGGGTGGCATTTGGGAGGCACGGTTGAAAACAGGAAACAACAGTCTTTTTCCCCAGGAAAGAAAGACTGGAAGCTTTGGCTTTGTGGTGCAGTTGTTGGGCCAGGCTGGTCACTCCATTGGCATCAAGAGCTTTCTGTGCTGGCACCTTTCGTGTGGGAGGAATCTTTGTTTGTATGCAATTTTGGCAGTCAGAGTGGCAGTTGAGATGCAGGACTGAAAACACAAAACATCAGTCCTTATCCCCATGAAAGAAAGCATGCACACTTTGGCTTTGTGGTGCACTTGGCGAGCCAGGCTGGCTTCTCCATGGGAAGCAAGAGTTTTCTGTGCTGGCACCTTTGTTCTGGGAGGCATCTTTGTTTGTATGTAATTTTGGATGTTGGTATGGCAGTTTAGAGGCAGGCCTGCACACAGGAAAGAACAGCCCTCTTCTCCAGGAAAGAAAGCCTGGAAGCTTTGACTTTGTGGTGCAGTTGGTGGGCCAGGCTGGGCACTCGGTGGGCAGCCAGAGCTTTCTGTGCTGGTACCTTTGTTGTGGGAGTGTCATAGTTTGAAATTGGTCCCCCCTCGAGAATAAGGGGGCTCAGAGGTGATTGGGTGTCAAGGCAGTGTTCCCTGAAGAGCCAATCACCGTCCATGTTGTTTGCTTCTGCTCAAAATCATATATACACAGCCACCGGAATCTGTTGGCATTGTTCTGTTGTTGGTGTCTGCTGCGTGTAGGTGTAGAAGGCCAGGGGGTAGCTGGGCTCCTCCCCCCCCCCCCCCGATGGGGGGAAGAGGAGAGCCCTGCGGCCCCCCCAACTCTGCCTAGGCCAGGGCAGAGTTAGAGGCAGAATTTTGAGTGTGTGCTGTGAAGGAAGAGATTCACAGCACCTGACCTGAGGTAAGAGGGAGGAGGCTAGGCCTTTCCCCCCCCGCAGCTGCAGGACGCTTGGGACAGTGGATAGCTGGACCGAGCTGCCTGTGGCTAAGGCTAGGGGGCTTTTTCCCCCCACTGCTTTGAGGCTGGTGGGGGTGGATTTTAAGGCTCAGCATTGAAACAGAGCCACGTGGAAGGGCTAAATATAGCTCGACACTTGAGAGAGGAATCCCCGGCGAAATTGGAGACGGACCCCGGAGAGAGGGGCCCGGAGGATGTCTCTGCCGTGGTTTAAACGCAGGACAGCTGAAAACCCGAAGGAGGAATCAACATTCCAGGATGCGGATGCTTGATAAGCTGGACTACACTTACAGCAGCCTACGAACTGAGGTATGAGAGGACAGACTCAAAACTATCTTCTTGGACTTCGTGAGGAGGAAAACAGAAACAAACAGCTGGAACTTGGTGAGGGGGGAGCGTTCGGGCCCAGAACACTCCCATGAGAGAGACTGCATTACCCAGCAGCCTTGAAAAGCTTCTACCTGGACTAAAGTTTAAGGGACGGGCTTTGAAGGGACTGGCAGAAGTGTAAAATATATATATATATATATATATAGTTGCCTTTAGTTTGTACAGTATATATATTTGTGTAAACAAATGTATATACTTCTCCTTCCCCTATAGAAGCCTCTGGTCTGAAAGTTTCTCTCTGGTGTTGGGATAAATTGTGGGAGGGGGTGGAGAAGCCGGGAGATTGTATTTTTAGATTCCTAATGTGACTCTAACTGCCACAGGGAGGAATCTTCTTCTGTATGCCATTTTGGGAATTGGGTTGGCACTTGGGAGGCACAGGTGAAAAAAGGAACCAACATCCCTTATCCCCAGGAAAGAAAGAATGGAAACTTTGGTTTTGTGGTGCAGTTGGTTTGTCAGCCTGCAGACACCACTGGCAGCAAGAGCTTTCTGTGCTGGCACCTTTGGTGTGGGAGGAATCTTCGTCCGTATGCAAATTTAGGAGTTGGGCTGTCATTTGGGAGGCACGGTTGAAAACCGGATACATCAGCCCTAATCCTCAGGAAAAGAATCCTGCAAGCTTTGGCTTTGTGCTGCAGTTGATTCGTCAGCCTGGAGACTCCATTGGCAGGAAGAGCTTTCTGTGCTGGCACCTTTGCTCTGGGAGGAATCTGTGTTTGTATGCAATTTTGGGAGGCAAGCTGGCATTTTGGGGGTAGGGCTGAAAACAGGAAACAACAGCCCTTATCCCCAGGAAAGAAAGACTGGAAGCTTTGGCTTTGTGGTGCAGTTGGTTTGTCAGCCTGGAGACTCCATGGGCAGCAAGATCTTTCTGTGCTGGCACCTTTGATGTGGGAGGAATCTTCATCCGTATGCAATTTTGGGAGTCGGGCTGGCACTTTGGAGGCAGGGCTGAAAAGAGGAAAAAACAGCCCTTTTCCCCAGGAAAGAAAGCCTGGAAGCTTTGGCTTTGTTGTGCAGTTGTGGGCCAGGCTGGGCACTCCATGGGCAGCAAGAGCTTTCTGTGCTGGCACCTTTGGTGTGGGGGGAATCTTTGTTTTGATGCCTTAAGCCCCTAATGTTTTTTTTTTCCTACCTTATAAGTTTTATAGGTAATAGAAGTAGATTTTAGAAGCAGCCTATTTATCCCTCTTCCCTGTAGCACTCCTTAGTTTACACATTCCTTAACCCTCTTACCCCATTCCATACTCCCCATATCAAGCCTACCCCCGTATCCAGTAGAAATGTTTAGCCTCTTGTCAAGGCAAAACCTGTCTTGTTTGCGAACGCTTGTATCTTGGCCTAAACCACAAGACAGAGTCAAAGAACTGGGTGACTGTGATGATGAAGGTTGATGAAGAGAGAGTCCCAAAATGCACCCCAGACCCCATTTCAGAGGGTGGACCCAGGGGTGGATTAGACCAAAAGTTATGGGGTGGACACACTTGGGATTGGCCAGATATTGTTATAAATGTAACATCTCAGGCACAGCCTTGGCACGATTAAACCCCTTCCTTATCTCACCCTAATTAATGGCTCCTGGATTTTTTTTTAGCACCAGCTGAGCAGGGATCAGCTGTTGGCCCGCACAGGCAGACCTGGACTGGAACTTCTTCAAACTGAAAACTTTCATCGTGCAGGAATTCCTCATCAAGTCGGCTTTTATCTGAGATAATTCCCACCCCGGTCTGAGAAGCCCAGCTCCACAGAACCCATGGAAACAAGCACGGAGCATAGAGGTGAGATAAGAAAAGGCAAAATAAGGGGAAAGGTACCTGGTTTAGTTAGCAGCTGCGGGA